CACGTATCTTCGCTGCCGCTTATCATCAGTACTTCTCTCTTTTATTTTATTTTATTTTTTTCACATTTTAATCGATTTTTCATTTATTTACTCTCCAAATATCCCTACAAGCGAAAATTGGCACGCAGCATAATATATTGTCAGCAAAATTGTAACGCGTTGCTTAAAATGATGTAGCTTTTCGCTTATACATCTATATTTCTCCTTTTCTTATGTAAGCACTTCCGAGTGTTACATTTACGAGCATAATAAAAAAAAAAAAGTATCAGGATCAATTATTGAACTGGGTACCAATTTACGTGGCATACGCATTCGACAACTTTTCTTATCACCTCGATTGGCATTCCAATATTTATAGCATGTATCACTATGTTTGTGAATGTTGCTTGTTTCCACAAGTTGCACTATATCTGCACGGAAACGTGATGCGAAATTCGGTGATGACGGTTTTGGAGTAGGCAAACAAGCAGGAATTACTTTTGATTCATTTTGTGAAGTATTCATAGCTAAAAGATAAATCAATCCTTCGCTGTTTTCCATCATTATCTGATCCTACCAGAAATAGATTCATTATGTATTGCTTTTTCTGAATGTCTATTTGGTAATGGTGTATCATATACGTTATCTCGTGATAAACGTGGAGGAGTAGCTTGTACTCTTGATTCTGTAACAGAAAAAAAAATTAGATTAGCAAAAAGAATTAGCACATTGTATACCATCAAAGCTTTCAAAGACATGTTTGTCCTTGAATTCATCCAAATCTTCTTTGATTATGTCTTCTAGATAAGCTTTCAATTTTTCACGAAAATTAGCATTTTGAATTTTCTCTTTCATATCAGATGGCTTCATATCATGATCAAGCCAAATGAGAATATGTAGATGAAGAGAACCTCGTCCTTGATTTTCAACAGTACCAAAGTAAGCTTTAATGGGTCCAAGAACGCCACCAACAATCATAGTATCCAAGATATTGCTGATCAATAAATGGAAAAATTTAGCAGTAGCAACAGGATGAGAAGCTATAATTTCAGCTCTTTTATAAGTAGTCATAAGTTGTTCAATTTGAATTTTGTCCAAATCAAGTTTGACACCGGCAAAATATAGTGCCACAGGACTGTGGATATCGGCTGGATTTAAAGTTAGAAAAATGCTTGGAAGACCTTGATTATAAATTAGCGCATGAATGCGAGTGCACAGAGCTGTCCGCGAATAAGCTGAACCCATAACTCGACCACCGATGGTTTTGATATGATTGAGTAGTTTGTTTAGTGCACTGTGTGGTTGCATGCTCTACGTTTTTTTGGAAATGCTGTCAAGGGCCATTTCAATATCTTTGCTGTTTAAAGAGTGAAATTCATGAGCAGATGATCGAAAGTAAGGTCTCGTTGCTATCAGTTGAGCATGAAAACAAGCATCACGTCGTTGCAATAGATTGAAGACCACAAATATAAAACTATGATTTGTTTCAAAACGGCGATCATTGTAGGATAACAAATAACGTATGTGTTCGCGTAGTTTTATTTCAAGTGGGCGTGATTGATCCTCAGGTGATCCGCGTCCGTAACAAAATAGAGTTGGATGCAGACCTAGTAGTAGTTTCGGATTAAAGTACTCGTTAACAGGCTTCGAAGAGTGAGGAATCAAGTAAACGTGTTCGCTGTCCATCTGCTCCTTTGCTCCGTCATGTTTTATTTTTTGAACAATATAATTAGTAATTTCATCACAAGACACTGTGGATCCATTTACATCGAGTACACCACTAAAGAGAAAATATTTAGGAAATAACTCATTTGATGGTATAGATTCTCAGCTGTTATTAATAGGAATCGTGCCTGAAGTAGTTGATTCCATAGGATTGGTCAATGGATCGGAAACATATCCAACTCTCTCAGATGAATTTTCTTCCTCGCCAATCTTCAGTTCTATCGTTGACATGATGGATTCTGGTATGTCGTCTTCAGGAAGTTGAGCGATACTCTTCATATTTATTTCGACATTTTGATAGAGAACATTATATTTTTTTAACCAATGCAAGGCTTGAACAACTTTTTTCTTGCGTACTGTCAGAATTTTTTGAGATGAAGACGTTCAGGACGCTGAGCGCCAACAAAAACCACTTTAACTATGTCACATAAATCATCAAGTGTAAGTGGTAAACTACTAACGATGTTCGGTACATTTTGAAGAAACGTAATACAGTTGCCTTTTAATGCTGTTTGAGCAGTTGTAGTTGAATGAAAAGGTGAATGTAGTTTTATAATGCAACTATTGTGACGATAAAGTGAAATTAACTTTTCCTCGGGAATTGTTAAGCCTTGCAATTCAGTAGGTACATCGCCTAACCACATATTATTAGCAGGTGAAAACTTAGGGATGTGCCCCTTTGATAGAGAGTCGTGACATTTTTTGCAAATAGTACACATATCAGCCCTATTTTGTTGATACAAGCCATTCGTATATAAAATGATTCCGTTCTTACAGTAAAAAGATGGTGAATTGAAATTAGAAGAATCTAAAATAGTTAAAAACTATACATAAGTATTAAATAGTGGTAGCTATAAATCACCTTGTACTTGTCCTGCCATTTGAATGTTATTACATTTCGCAGAAACTCCGATGTTTGTAATTGAATGTTTTCGAGCAGCTGATTGCATGCTTCCAACTAACTCATTGAGCTCGTCAGAAACTTTAAGTACATGGATGTTAGGAATTTTTGAAACCAATATTTTCTTCGAGTTTTGTACTGGGATGCGAACATTGCAAACAGCACAGGTAGCTTCAGCTAGCGCCGACATGGACATATGCTTGAGAAATTGTTTCAAACAAGCCTCCTTTAAATCATGAGAAATCGACTCAGGCCAACGCGGATAAATAGAACTCTTGTTTTTCTTTGTGACATTTTCGTTTTGTGTAAGATCATTCATGCTGTTACCACGAAGAGGCGCGTGATCTTCCGTTTCATTTAACTGCATAAGAATATCTTGATGTTGAACAGCAGTGTTGTGAGAAGTGCGTTTTTCGAGTTTCTTTTTGGTTCTATTTACCTGACTTCGTTTCCTTTGTTGCTCGATCCTATTTTGACGTTGTTCTTCGGTTTTATTCATGCGAGTGGATCCAGCTCGTTCTCTGTCAATCTTAAGTCGATTTTGACGTTGTTGTTCGGTTTCATTCCGTCGACTAGATTGAGTTCGTTCTCTATTTTTCTTAAGTCGATTTTGACGTTGCTCTTCGGTTTCATGCCTACGACTTGATCGAGTTCGTTCTCTGTCGTTTTGGAGTCGGTTTTGACGTTGTTCTTCTGTTTCCATCGCTCGGTTCAATTGACTTCGACTTTTTTGCTTTTCTAGCCGTTGTTGATGCTCGTTGTCTGTCTCGTTCGTTCGACTTGCACGAGCATATTCTCGTTTCTTTTCTAGTCGGCTTTGATGCCGTGGCTCTATGTCATCCTGTTGGTTTTTAATCTGTCCCGAAATAATTGATTGAGCGGAGTCATTTTCAGGACGCATTTCCGTTCGTAAACGTCTACTGGGAGAAGATTGAAACTCAGGAATTCGTATTTGCGTATGAACATTATTCTTCAATGTTTTCTTTTAGGAGTCTAAAAAGAATTGAAAATTTATCGAACTTGCGCTTACCGAGTAATACTCTACCATAATCGTTGACGTTGACTCATTGCTACTCTCAAAATCATAATCCATAGCCGGTGACATAAGAGGAACAAAATGGTTTGGACTACATCCACCATGATTTGTTTCTCGGGCATCTTTTTCACTATTGACATGAGACCATAAGATTATGATCTGATAATTGGCAATGATAGGCGAAACAGGTGTGAAGACGTTGTTCATCACCGTCATATATTCTCAAAAGTCAATTTTCGGATAGATACTTCGAATATTGCATTTAAGTACATTGCAGAGTGCAACAATTTCGTACAACTCGGAAAATGTACAATTTTTGCATATGGCCTGAACAGCTATGTTCACAGGTCCCATAAATTGCGAATACGTGTTCGTATAGTGGATTTCATTCATTACAAGTTCAATGATCGTTCGAACTAAAAAAGATTCCAACTTAGATTGCATAATGACACAAATGAAAAATAAATTTACATACCACGCAATTCACTCTGTGTCGCCGCTGGGTTATTCATTAGAACAAGAATAGAACTATACAAACAATTTCCATCGGCAGCGACTTCGACTGGAACAAGCTTGTGCACATCATCAGTCGCCTTTTCAAGATATTTCTTAGCGATCACATCTACAATATGTTTTGTTTCATCGAAGACTTGATTTGGATGAAATTGAATTGGTGTCATAATTGTTTCAATCTGGAATGCTTTGCTTACAATTTAACTTTTACTCTAATAAACTTACTTGACGAATACTTTGTACAGCAGAAACGATTGCGTCTTGGTGCATTACACTTTTCGAACATGTTTCAAGATATTGAAGTAATCGTGCAAATTTTTGACCACGACTCATTTGATCGCATCTTGCACAACAGCTACTGATACACTGCATAAAGCAGAATACACATTGTGTGTTCATTTTTATTCGAATCGATATACGTATATTATTATCTACAAATTCTATAAAAATTTAGCGTTCAAGTAAACCGAATATGAACTTTTCACAAATTTAACTAAGGCTGAATATTTTATTTCAGAGGAACACTTTTTTAAGAAAATTTTTTTTTCTCTCATAAACCTTGCTCAACCGTAATCGGGGTCGGGCAACTCGAATTCGAGATCGCTTTTTTCCACCTTTGAGTTCTGCCACGGTAACTAACAGTATAATTAATTAAATGACGATAATTAGCAAGTTTTAACACAATGGCTCCGTCGAATTGAACAGATGAGGTATCCGTTCCATAGATCTCATCCAGCTCTATTTGTAGAGCTGTGTGTCCACATTCCTGAGTATGGTGGAGCCAATCGCTACCAGTTTTAACCGATTTCTCTCTAATTTTTCCCTTTTTCACTAAGTATTTTCATTAAAGTTTTCGAATTCCGACGGTCTTTCCCAAAAACTCAAGGCTGACACCACATATAACTCTTCACGATCGACCCGACGTGCTGGTGATCTGAGTTCCAGAACACTCTTCACCTAGTACATTCAGCAAACAGATCGAATCGTGCCCTACCACATCGTATGTGTTAGATCATCGTCAGATAGCCTTTGTAATTCCCTATCTAATGATGTATCGGGCAAATTGGACCCGAGAAATTAGTAACAAAAATTCGCGTGGAGCAATATTGCCTTGTACACAATTGCTATATATTCGACATACATTTTTTTCGAATGTCGTCCACGGTTACATATCCTTTTCAGCGGATGTTAGACCATCGTTAGATAGCCTTTGAAATTCCCTATCTAAGAATATACATAATGTGCGATGCTTTGCATAGAGATGCTGAGGAGGGGTATGGTTTGTCACTAAAATTTGACGAATATAAGCATTTTAAATAGATGAATCATGGTTGAGTCAAAAACCCATGAAGTGGTTTAGTTTCACTTAAGAATGATATCTGACTTTGCCAATGATAAAACAGAAATGGGTAAGTCGAGTTTTGACAGGGGCTGATTTTCATTTTTAACATGGTGGCTCCTTTAATGTTAAGAAAATGAGCAAATAAAGTTTACATAACAAAAAAGAAAAGAAAGAGGTAGAATTAATCGAATGATCTTCAGTTCAAAGAACAATCAATATGGATCTCACAACGATGAAGTAATGTGACTTAATTTATTTAGATTGAATTTCATTTGTGTGATATTGTATAAAATAGATATTTTTTCTTTCATCAGTGTTATTCTTACACGTAGTGTCTACTGTGTAGAGCAATATAAGTAGCAATGGCTTCGAATAATTCAAAAAACATTTCAAGAATAAAATATCTACATGAACCATCTATTCAATTCACGAGTGAAAGTAGACGAGTCTCAAACCTGCGCTCGAATGTCTTACTCGTGTCTTTCAAATTTTGATCGTATCTGTTTTGAGATAGTATCCTCACTATGCATTGTACTCTCTTCCTTTTAAGATGAAATTTCGTGATTTCGATTCAAACGACAAAACTTGTTTAATGAAAGTAGGAAGAAAAATATATCAGCCAAATGTATTAGTCATACGTTTGGTGATGAAGAGATGTAATAAAAAATATGAATTGGCGTTAATTGAATGGATGAATACGGATGTAAAAGTAACGTTGAGAACAGCGAAAATGCATACGGAATTTATTTAACGACGAATGCTATGTATGCATTGACATCTATAGCTCATCGTGGAACATCAAGTATAGAAGTGATGAAAACACAAGCCATGCATGTTGTTCACAAACTCACTGAAATATAGATAAACTTTGGCCTGTTGCAAATAATCAATAGCGTTTATCAAATGAGACACGACTTATTTCATTTATTGATAAGCATTGTTTCATATGCAATAATCATTTCATCGATAACATTATCGTTATTAAGCTATTCAATAAAAACATTATTGAAAAAAATCTCAATCAATGCAATGACTTCTTTTGTATCAAAATTCATTTCACATCAAATGAATTTTCATTTAACATGATTAAATACTTGTTCGGTCATATGTAATCTACATCTTTACTGTACGATTTCATTCATAGATAAAAGATGTGCTGTATAGCATCGATCACTTTTTGACTAACGATTACTTTTATCGAAACTTGCAGATTCAATTGATGTTAATTTGGTAGGAAAGTATAGAATATCATATTTGAAAAAAAAGTTATCAATGTTTGAATGATTCATATTTTACGATTTATCAAAAACAATCTGAGAAAAATAAACCATAGCAAAGCAAAATCTCATTGGTTCGCTTGAGTAGTTTCTTGATCAGGTTTTCTTACGATAGAAATATTGTATCTGTTTATCAAAAGTCATGCTTTTTACATCATCGTTTTACTTGAAACGACACGCAAATGTAAAGACAAATACAACATTTTCTCATAACGATATATATATATATACCTATATACATTAGTAGATTCTTATAGTTTTCAAACTATATCAATAATATGGCTGCATTTTAACTTGTATCTCATGATGGTTTTCGATTTTTTGGTTATGATTGGCCATCTTATCGACATTCTCATTCTCCCTATGCTGTTGTAATACCAGTACACGGTCCTACAAATCATACTGGATGATATGACGAACTAGCACATTTTTTCAATGAAAACAAAAAGTAATAGAAGATCGATTATATCATGACATTTTGCAGCCACGCATAGACATCTAATATACACTGATAGCTGTCCTTTCACTAGTGTGTAATACAACACATTCGTTATGAACAACAACAAAAGAGGAAGAGAATCACGCCAATCAGTACTATCCATATGTTTCTATGAGATTACTATCAACTTCTTTCCAAGATGATTCGATATATTAGAAATAACAAAAAAATGTATGCTTATCAAGATTCTTTTATGATGCAAGATAAAACAAAAACCCAATATGCTACAATGTTAATTGTATATATGAAACATAAATAACTTATTTAAGGCGGATCTGCTAAGCTCAACAAAATGTCAAGCAACATAATCCATGTCATTGATGAGCAAGACATTATATTCGGCTGAGATTAATGCATACTTGAACATATATGCTCATAGGTTGTGTGCGAAAACAAGATATTACTTTTAATACTTCATGTACTTAAGAGAGAGACAATACTGTCTTGGTTACACGTGCATCATGACCTGTCTACCCAAATTGAATCTGTTGTTGTTTCTTAAATGAAAAAAAAATTAATAACATAAAAGATGATGATCTAAATAAAAAGATTGTCTTTGCTATTGGTTGACTTTTTCAAATTTTGAGACGCAACGATAAATATTAATGTATGTGAATCAACACTAATGAACTATATTCAATATATTCATAAAAATAATTATTTTATTGTATGATAAATTCGAAGATTTTTATCAATTGTCTTCTCTTCATTGTTAAATTTTAATCCGTATCATGTAATCAAAAATTATATTGTATTACTCAAGAAGATTCCTCGGACAAGTCGATCATGATCTATTGATTCCTTATTCATTTAAAATTTGACTATCGATTTGCATATACCAAACAAAAGAACATCGACGATTTTATCACATTTAATTTTAATGAGACAGTCAATATAATTTCAATCGTTTTTATGTCTTTCATATAGAAAAGAAAAGCAAGATAGAAATAGAAGTTAATATCAATAACAACAACACAAAAGCAAGATTATTGATGAAGGTGAGTTTAATGTATGGCAGTTCGCTGAACTCATATATCTATCGGTCATGCTTGTTCTCGTTCGCTTTCTTTACAATTTTTCTCTCTCTCTTCTTTCTTCATTTTCAATGCATGTATATACGTACTATATTGAGTAGTAGCTCATGTAGAGTGAGTCAACCAAAAAGAAAAAAAGAACAAAATTAACCGATTTCAATCACTATTCATTCGCATCGAACAATGAAGACAATGAAGACAAAGAAGATGAACATTGTTCCAAAAACGAATATGAGAGTTTTGCTTTCTAGATAAGGCATTTTTCATATTTACTATTGTTATTAACAATTCAAATTTGTAAACGTATGTTTGCAATGAAAACGAGAGAAAAAGTAGTTTTTTGTTTGATTATTTTCTTTCGTACTATAGAAGTACAAAGTCAATGTTCTGGTCGAATATGGACTATTCAAGATATAACTATTGGCTCGTTTACAATTTCATGGAGATATAATAACACTTCGAATACTGTTCAATTTGTTATTCAAGGTAGAGATTTAGAATATTTATTCGTTTTGATCTATTGTATATTATTAGGTCAAGCAAGTTCAAACATTAATCTTGCATCTACTTATATTGCAATGGGATGGTCTGACACAGTACCAACAGGGGTGTGTGTTTTTGCTTTTACGATGAAGATTTTCGTTAACCGAATTTATGTTTTTAGAATACTATGGATGTAGCAATGTTTTTTCCTGGAACTCAAATAGTTCAAGATAGGTATGTATATCAAGAAAACATCGACTTTTTTCCAGAAGAAAAAAACTTAATAAATTTTCTCTTTTGTTTTGTTTGCGTCTGTTGTCTGTAAAGATATTCTCGAGGATATGCAACCATCTATTGATAGTCAACAAGATTATTGTGCTATTCAAACGAATATTACGGATCAACCTGTTTATTTAGCATTTGAACGATTGAGTACAACAGGAGACGCCGATGCCACTAGTTCTCTGTCATACGTACACTTAATCTTCTCAATGGGTTCTTACACACAAGTGAATCATTCGAATACTTTCGAATTGGAAGAACATTTTTTTAGAAAACCATTTAAAATACGTATAAATTTAATGCATTGAATTTTAAATAAGGAGATAATTGTACCTACATCACAATAAATAAATCTTAATTTACTTGCTTGTCATTTCTTGATGGTGGTACAAAATTAAATTGTGTAGGTATAGACATCTCTTTTTTATATATGTCAATTTTTTTCCTTTTTACAGTAGTAAATTTTGAAAATGCTTATGCTGTTTTTTTTTGCTTTTAGCAATTGAAAATATAAATATTCTTGCTTCAATAGAAATTTATAATACTAATTGAATCTTAAAATAAGAGAATGCATCTACGCTGCTCTACAAATCTAGCAAAATGACATCATTCATGAGCAGTACAACTGTGATTACTGTTAGAGAAAGGTTTTTCATTTACATCATAGAATATGTATATTAGAAAAGAACCACATCTACGACGCTCGAACATAAATACAGTTACTCATTTGCCTTTGAGACCAATATTTCTTTACTTATCACGACTGCATGGCAGCCTGGTATTCGTTCAAGGAAAACAGCGATAGGTTGATACAAGCTGGAGTAGCCATGATTATGCTGTCTTTATAACTGTTACTCGAAAGCTGACTATGGATGTACTATTATTGGCCATCANAGCTGGAGTAGCCATGATTGTGCCGTCTTTATAACTGTTACTCGAAAGCTGACTATGGATGTACTATTATTGGCCATCATAACCTATTCGCCACAGCTGTAAATGAATACGTTTGATATAACGAACAGTTATCTGACCACAGTAAAATAATGTATAAATAATCTTAGTCATTCAGTCGAGGGTTGAGCGAGTCGAAGCGACGCGCGTTACTTGTATATATTAGCATATATATTCTTTCTTTTCCATTTCTACTTAAAACGTATGACTTTATGCGAGGTGGTCCATTTCTACTG